AGAATCCAGTGGGCTCATGCAGGTGAAGCACAGGAAGATGCCTGGCGCAAGGTGGCACCCACGGAGCGTTGTTACTATTCTTTACTTCGCTCCAAGAAGACGGTCCACTCCTTGGAGGGGAGTTGCATCAACGTACATGTTGCTTATGCAAGTCGTATTAAATGCACTTGGCAAAAAGAGAGAGAGGATAATTTAGATACTGCTGAGGTCCTGATGGAGGCAGTTGCCCTCGGTGGGCCTGAGCCGCAGGGTGGGTACCAGAAGACCCCCTGGGGATGCGGCTCCCAGGCCCACCTCATGCCAGTCTAGGGCTGCAGACTCGTGTTTCCACACCACGTGGCCTCCGTGTAAGCCGCCTACAGCCCTGGAGGGAAGCCCGGCTGTGCTGGCCTTCCTGAGAGAGGAGGGCTCCGAAATGGCATCTTCCAGAAGGATTTTCAAGAGTAACCAATTTCCGTGTGATTTGTCCCTGCACTTCAGAATATAACTCTGTGGGTCCTTCACCTGCTCCTGGGAGTTCTCTCTGGGTCCTGGAAACATCCTGTCCGAGAGAGCGACTTTGTACAGCTGAGGCCTCGGGCCACACCTGCTGGTTTGTGTGGCAGTGGGGTTTATGGGGAACGCCTGTTTTTGTCCACCTGGGGCCCTGGCCACACTGTGTCTGTCTGAGCTCTAGAAAGGATGCAGACTGAGTGGTTAACATCATGTGAGTGCCGCATGCCATCAAGACTGACCCCCGGCGGCTGGCCGTGTGGTGCAGCGGTTAAGTACGCACATTCGGCTTCGGTGGCCTGGGGTTCGCTGGTTCGGATCCTGGGTGCCAACATGGCACCATTTGGCAAGCCATGCTGTGGTAGGCATCCCACGTATAAAAGTAGAGGAAGATGGGTGTGTCTGTTAGCTCAGGGCCAGTCTTCCTCAGCAAAAAGAGGAGGATTGGCAGTAGTTAGCTCAGGGCTAATCTTCCTCAAGAAAAAAAAAAAGACTGACCCGGGACACGGAGGCTCGGGTGAACTCCTCTGGTTGTCACGTGCTGTTGCTGGCAGAGCAAAACACTGTGCCTGTGACTCCAGGGGGACAGGACAACCCGACGCTGCGTCTGCTCTCTCCTCCACTCTGCCCTGTTCACCTTCTTCCTGTGCTGATTTCAATCTGCATCTCTTTTTCTTTAACAAACCACAACTGTAGGCATAGTAGCTTTTCTGAGTTCTGTGAACCCTCCTAGCAAACCAACAACCCCGCGGGTGGTCCTGGAGACCCCTGAAAGAGGCCCTTATTCCTTTTTATCTGCTCTTTGATAAGATACCCCAGCTCTGTGGTTGAGTCCAAGCAGAGTCTCAGAAATCCACCGCCACCATCAAGATGTAGGCACAATCAGTCCAGAGCACCACGTGAGCCCGTGCGGCGAGGACAGGCTGCCTGAAACCCTGTTCCTCCTTGGCCTGGGTGCAGAGAGCAACAGGCGCGCAGCCAGGCCTGTCAGGCCAAACCCTAGCAATGTGCACTCACCCTTCTGCATTCTTTTTTTTTTTTTTTTTCATTTTTCTTCTCAAAGCCCCCTGGTACACAGTTGTGTATTTTTAGTTGTGGGTCCTTCTAGTTGTGGCATGTGGGATACCGACTCAATGTGGCCTGATGAGTGGTGCCATGTCCACACCCAGGATCAGAACCAGTGAAACCCTGGGCCGCTGCAGCGGAGCACGAGAACTCAACCACTCGGCCACGGGACGGCCCCTACATTCTTTTACTAGGGAACACGCCCACTCCCATACTGACTTAGATTTCCCTGCCACAAACCCACCACGAGCCCCTCGCTGGCCCTTGGAAGGGGCCCACCCAAGCGAGGAGCCCATCGGATTCAGGGGAAACCCTGCCCCCACTATAGGTCAAGGTCATAGCCCTGGGGGTTTTGCAATTTGAATCCCAGGTTTGCTGAGCTGGCTTAGAAATCCAGTGAAGAGAAAAAACAAATATGTAAGTGAAAATCCGCTTTATTCCCCAAACCTCCAAGGGCCTGGCCCTCCACCGAGCTTTGCCTCTGGTGGTCAGCTCCCCTCACCCAAGCCTGAGCTCCTACTCAGCTCAGGGTCCTGTCCGTGCTGGCGTCGTGGGAGCAGCTGGACGAGACTTGGCTTGTCCTAAGATGAAACCCTTCCCCCGCCTGTGGGTTTTTCCTCCGAAATCCTTCCTTGTTCCACCTGACTTTATCTGCTGCGCACACACCCTTCCCTACCAGCAGCGACTGCGATAAAAGCCAGTCACATCCTGTGGGGACTCAAGGCCTCTGGGTGGCCAGAAACATAGCTCCTTCCACCTGGCGCCTGGGGCCCTGAAAGCCAGTCCCTACAATGGTTCTCAAGGGGCTTCTCTGTCATTCTGCCGAGAGGCAGAGGTCCAGGGTGGCCGTCCCTCAGCATCCCCTCCTCCCTGAGAATGGACACAGAGACCCACACTAGAGTCCCAGCTTATTAATAGGAGCTTGGTAGCTTCTGGAATGGCAGACCGCTGGGCTGTCCAACCTGGGGTCTCTGCCAGCCGCTCTGAATCGAGGCTCCTGTTCGCAGGCAGATGGTGCTGACTGCCCTCCTGGAGCTCAGGCAGGTCCAAGGACGTGCGAGAGCAGATCCGGACTTTCAATGTGGTGGTGCTGGCCCTGGGGAACCGGGTCCCGTGCAGCCAGACTCCCAACCTGTTGTCAGATAAATCATTGCCTCTGTCTGGGGTGGAGGGAATGAGGGGCTGAGAAGCCAAGCCAAAGGGGGTCCCCCAAGACTTTGTGAGAAGGGAGGGCGGTGGGAATCTTCTCGCCTTCGGCTGAGGCACCACCCGCACCTCCCCACCCCTGACCCACGGGGCTCTCTCTCAGTCACTCCCATCCTGGCCTATGACACTCCCGCTGACCCTTCAAGAGTCTGCCAGGGTACCGCCTCCTCTGGGAAGCCTTCCCCGCTTCCAGGCTGGTTCTCTGGTCTGGCCCCTCTCTGTTCTTACACACTCCTCTGGGCTTCCGGTGGCTCGTTCCGTGTAGTTCCCATTTATTTTATTTCTTCTTTCACAGCCTTTTCCAGTTTATGTTCTCTTGCTGTGTTTTATGCATCCACACCAAGCCGCCTCCAGTCCCATCTGGAGGAGGTGGGATGGGGTCGGGTGCTGCTGCCCTCTGACCACTGGGCTGCGGATGAGACGTCTAGAGCCCTGTCCTTGGACAGACGGTAGATCTCAGGATTGGCTCTCTGGGCTCCGCGCGGCCCCACACGGCCCCGACCCCTCTGGGGCTTGTTGGGGACGTCTGAGGAGGCAGGGAGGACCAGCTGCCTAAACAAGGTGAGTCTTCTCGAGCTGTCCATGAAGACATCTTTTATGGGGAGTCCTGCTGCTGTGAAACGAAATGGACGCCTGAGCCTTGTCCTCAGGCACAGCGCACGGGGATTGGCGGTAGGGCCCGGGCTAGGGTGGGGCAGGTGAGGCGCCCAGGGCAGGAAGGAGGCTCACTCTGGCGCCCTGCCAGAGTCCTGCCCCACAGGGGGTCCCCGCCCTCCGAGTGGCCTCCCCCGAGCGAAGCCCCTCCCCTCCTTCTCGGGGTGTTGGCAGGTGAGAGCAGGTGAGAACATGTGCTCCCTTCCAGGCAGATGCTGTGAGCAGACGTGACCTGCATGGAATGTTCTCCATCAGAGTTTCTTGCTTTGGAGTAACACCCGGCGGGGCACCCTCCAGTCCAGTGCCGTCCGTTTCACGCAGCCTCCCGTCCTCGGTGGCAAATCTTCCCAGTCGTCTTTGCGATCTTGGCTTCCCACCTTCCACAGGCAACCATTTGACACACACACACACACACACACACCTGTGCTGAACAAGTACAAATATCCGGGCTTAGAGGACTTTGAGCCCATTCCTTCATTTGACAACCATTTATCGGGTGTGCTCCCATGTGTTGAGGATATGGCAGGGGACCGAAAGGGAAAATCCTGCTCTTGTGGGGCTTATATTTTAGTGGGGAGACATGCTACATACTAAGTGAAGGGGCAAACCGTATAGCAGGGGGGACAATAGTAAGTGATAGAGATCAACCACAGCAGCGAAGGGGGTCGGGGTGCTGGGCGCGGGGCTGAAATTTTAGCAGGGGACACCAAGGAAGGCCTGGGGACGTGAGGGAGGTGAGGGGTGAGCCACGCAGGGGTCGGGAGGAGTGTCCCAGGAAGGGAGCGGAGCCGCTGCAGAGAGCAGGGGAGGGAGGGACCCGGAGTTGGAGGGGCAAGCAGGAGGCCAGCGTGGCGGGAGAGAGAGGAGACAGGTGGATGGGGACAGGAAGAGGTGAGGCCTTGGGGGCCCTGGCATGGACTTCAGCTGTGACTCCGAGGGTAATGCCGGCCCCTGGAGGGTTTAGAGCAGAGTCAAGACGTGGTCTGCCTTGCGTTTTAAGGGGATCCCCTGTTGGCTGTAAGGAGCCCAGGACTGAGCGGGGAGAGGCTGGAAGCCTGGGGACCCGTTAGGAGGACCCTACAATCCTCTGGTGAGAGGTGACTGTGACGAGGACCGGGTGGCGGCAGCAAGGTGGTGGAAATGACAGATCTTCACAGCAGAGCCGACAGAATTGGCCGACTGGTTGGATGTGGGGTGCAAAGGAGGAGAGGGGTTTGTGTGTTTAGTCGAGGCAAAATTCACATCGTATAGAATTAACCATTTTAAAGTATACAATTCAACGGGCTTTAGTAAAGTCACTATATCTAGTTCCAAAACATTTTCATCACCCCAAGGAGAACCCTGGATGCATTCAGCAATTGCTCCCCATTCTCTACCCACCCCCGCCTCTGGCCCCACCGAACAACCACTAACCTACTTTCTGTCTCTATGGGTTTACCTATTCTGGATGTTTCATATAAATGGAATCAATATGTTGTCTTTTGTGTCTGGCTTATTTCTTTTAGCACAACCTTTTCAAGTTTCATCCATGTTGGAGCAAGTGTCAGCATTTCCTTCCTCTTTAAGGCTGAGTGATATTCCATCGTGTGGATAGACCACATTTTCTTTATCCATGCATCTGGTGGACATCTGGGTTGCTTCCACTTTTCGGCTATTGTGAAGAGTGCTGCTATGGACCAATTTTTGTTTGAAAACCTGTTTTCAATTCTTTTGGATATAAACCTAGGAGTGGAATTTCTGGGTTATGTGGAAATGCCAAACTGTTTTCCACAGTGGCTGCACTGTTTGACATTCCCACCAGCAATGTATTCGGGTTCCACTTCCTCTGCAGCTTTGCCAACACTTATCATTATCTGTTTTTTGTTTAAATTATAGCCACTCTCATGGGTGTGAAGTGGCACCTCATTGTGCCCTTGATTTGCATTTCCCTGACGACTAATGACGTTTGAGCATCTTTTCATGTGCTTGTTGGCCATTTATGGAGCCAAGGTGTCCGGCCTGAGCAACCATAGGCTGGAGCTGTCAATGAATGAAGGGGAGATGATGGGAGAGGCGCTCAGCTTGACGTGGTAAATGCGATGTCCGTGTTGGACGTCCCAGTGGAGACGTGGAACTGGCGGTCGGTGGTGAGTCAGGAGGGCAGAGTGAGGCCTGGGCTGAGGTGTAAACTTGGTGTCATCAGCAATGGCAACATTTAAACCACAAGGTGCAAGGAGTGCCTGGCACACGCACGGCAGAGGCTGGACCCTGAGGAAGGAGACGGGGAAGGCGTGGCCAGTGGGGAAGAAGGAAAACCGGGTGAGGCGCCCGGAGGCCCAGCGGAGGCGGTGTTTCGGGGGACGGGAGAGGAGCACCTGTGTCAGCTGCTGCTGGTGGGAAGCACACAGCGCTGACAATCCACTTGCTAAGGTGGGATTGAGGCGACCCTGACTTCACTTGCAAGCCTGCCTGGAGCGAGTTTACGAGAGCGGGAGCAAAAGTGGAAAGAGGGTAGGGACCACTCTTCAGAGGGGCTTGAAGGGGTTTTGCTGGAAAAGGAAGGAGAGAAATAGGATGGCATTTGAAGGGGAATGCGATCAAGAGGGAGGTTTTAAAATGTAAAGTGGGAGAACGAAGAGCTGATGGGAACGCTTGAACAGAGAGGAAAAACATCATTATGCAGGAAGCGGGGGCTTACCAGAAGGATGTCCTTGAGCCCAAGAGAGGGGACAGGCTCTGGCACGGACTGGAGGGTGGGCGGCTTGGGACAGATCCTCCAGGGATCAGGAGAGAAGACGAGGGCGGGCGGGCGGGTGGGGGTTGAGGAAACTCTCCGTGAACAGGAAGCAAGGACACAGGCGAGAGGGAGCGGAGGAAGGCAGGGCGAGCGGAGGGCCGGGGGAGGGATGACAGGCCGTGGGGCGAGAGACAGGCTGCCCCGCCAGGGGAGGGAGGCCTGCTCGCCAGGCAGCACTAACGGCTCGCTTGAGGTTAGCCACGAACCAGATTTAGAAAAGACACATTTGGCTTAAGGCAGCATAACGTGCAGAGACGCGGCCCTGGCCACTGTCGAGTCAACTGTTGACATGTGTAAACGGAACGCTTTGACTCCTTAGAAAAGCCACTAAACCTGTCCATTCTAGAAGGACTTTGGGCCACATCTTCCTAACTCAAGTTTTCTAACCCGGGGTCCACGGACTCCCTGGGGTCCTCAGACATATTTCCAAGATTGATGAGTTCTCTACAAGAATTCTTAAATTTGGGGGTTTCATGTCAACAATAACGTGAGCATTTCATTCTGCGCCCCGCCGCCCCCCCCCCCCCCGCCATGGTTGTGTGCTCACACGTATGTGCGTTTGTGTTTGCGATCACATTGGAGGATTAAATGTTTCAGCTCATGGGAACAGAACAGAGGCAGACCAGTGAGAGACAGCTGTATTCAGGCAGCGGTTCCAATGGGAGCCCTGGGGGACAATCCGTGGAGTCTGCCACCGCGGAGCAGCGGGGGACTCAGTTTCTGCCAAAGAAAATCATCCTTGATGTTAATTTAATGCTCTTTGAATTTTACTGGCCGTTTGTTTCATTTGTGTTTAATTCCTGTGTTCATTTTGGTTTATGGTTCCGTAAGAACTACAAACACAGCCTTTGTGTTTGTCCCTATAAAAAGTAATTTGTTCGACAAGTGCTGCTGGGGAAACTGGATCTCCACGTGCAAAGGAATGAAGCTGGACTCTCACCTTACACCATATATAAAAATTAACTCAAAATAGACCAAAGACCTAAACTTAAAAGAGAAAACTGTAAAACCCTTAGAGGAAAACTTGGGGAGAAAAGCTCCAGGCCACTGGATATGGCAATGATTTCTTGGCTGTGACACCAAAGGCGCAGGCAACAAAAGAAGAAATAGCCAAATTGGACTACATCAAAATTAGAGACTTTCGTGTTTCAAAGGACACTGTCAATAGAGTGAAAAGGCAACTCTCTGAATAAGAGAAAATGTTTGCAGACCATATTCTGATGGGGGTTAATATCCAGAATATATAAAGAATTCCTACAACTCAACACCCAAAAACAAATGACCCAATTCAAAAATGGGCAAGGGACTGGAAGAGACGTTTCTCTGAGGAAAATACACAAACGGCTAATGAGCACATGAAAAGATGTTCAATATCACTAATCATTAGGAAAATGCAAATCCAACCCACAATTGCATACCAGTTCACATCCATTAGGATGCTTATTATTATTTAAAAAAAAAAAGCCCAGAAAACAACACCTGCTGGCGAGGATGTGGAGAAATTGGAACTCTTGTGCATTGCTGATGCGAACATAAATGATGCAGCCACTGTGGAAAATGGTTTAGCGGTTCCGCAAAAAATTAAACACAGAATTACACGAGATCCTGGAATTGCACTTGTGGATATGGATCCAAAAGGATCGAAAGCAGGGTCTCAAAGAGATAAATGTACACCAGTGTTTGGCTATTCACAACAGCCCAAACGTGCAAGCGACCCCAGGGGCCATCAACAGATGAACGGATAAACCAAATGTGGTCCATCCATACAATGCAATATTATTCAGCCTTAAAAAGGAAGGAAATTCTGACACATGCTACAATATGGATGAACTTTGAAGCCAATAAACTAAGTGAAATAGGCCAGTCATAAAAAGACAAATACTACGTATATAATTCCACGTATTGGGGGTCCCTAGAGTAGTCAAATTTATAGAGACAGGAAATAGGATGGTGGTGATGATTGCACAACAGCGTGAATGTAACGCTACCGAGCTGTACATTTCACAATACTTACAATGGTAAATTTAATGTCATGTATATTTTACCACAATAAAAAAAAAAATCAACCCTGGAGGGGAGTTCTTCCAGGTTTCCAAAATCCTGGGGTGGTTCTGATATTAGCCAGGGTCTCCGCGCTGCCTGACTCCAGCCCCCTCCTCCCGGCTCAGTGCCCACTGCATGTTGCTCCCTGCGTCACCTCTCCTGAGAGGGGACGTGGATCCCGTGGGCCTCCCTGGAGAGGGAGCCTCTCTGCTCCTCCTCAGGCCAGGGGACGGGACTCAGGTCGTTGCTGAGACTGGAGGAAACGTTGGGAGCAGCGGGTCACCAGCCTCCGGCTCTGTGTCTCTTGGGCCCTCCTGTGTGCGGGCTGCACCTCTTCTCTTCTGCCCCATCGGGCAGCCCCCAGGGACCCCTCATCATGGGGCCTGCAGCTGTCCAGGTCTTCTGCCTGGGCCTTGACTGGGGGAATGAGAGCGCTCCAGCCCGGCTTTCCCAGCAGTGAACCCAGCACTGGATGTCCATCCTGGTCCTGTATCAGTGGCTCCTTGGGTGGTCCAGGCCCCTCCATCTCAGCGAGCAGTGCCGAGAGAGCCCCAGGCCTGTGTGAGCCCAGGCGAGGTGGTGCTGTGTCGGTCCTGCCGGCCAGGCTGGGGCTCGGGTCTCTGGGGGAGAGCAGGAAGCGAGCAGCCTGTCCAAAGAAGGTCCTGGCTGAGGGGGGGATGGCTGTCCTGGGGTCCCTGTGCTCTCAGGTGCCCCCTCCTCCCTGTGCCCTGCTCTTCACATGATCCTCCCTCCACCTGGGACCTCATCCCACCGAAAATCTCCCATCACCCTCTTGCCTCTCCTTTCCCGCTGGTTCTTTGTTTTACTCGCAAACAACACCAAAGCCAAAATCAGCACCCGGAGCTCTGTTCACAGGGTATCTACTATATGCCATTCGATCCCTCACTGACAAGCTTGTGACTTTTGGCAAATTGCTAACCTATCTGGGGCTCAGTTCCCTCTCCTGTAAAATGGGCAAGTTAACACCGATCCTGCAGTGCGGCTGTGGGTTGCGCGGTGCCTGCCATCATTCAGCATTCAGCCGTCCATCGTCTCTCTCCCGGATTCTGCCTCCTTGCTCAGCGTGTCGACTGGTTCCGAATCTGCTGTGGACTCAGCAGCCACATCACCAGGCTCGTTAGACTGCAGGTGAAGATGTTTAATTAGGTTCCAAGGAAGTTAGAAGGCTGTCCTAAGGCCAAGTTCCCAAGCCTCGGAGTGTGGACTCATGACGTCTTTTCGGTCCCCAGAGACATTCTTCTCCAGCTGTGTGGGAGGTTTCTGTGTCCCAGACTGAGAGGTCGCCAGAGAGCAAAGTTTCCCAAGTTTCAGGGAGCTGTGGAGTGACTGCGTGACACCCGATCTGGAGGGACTAGGCTGCTGTGCTCCGGGCTGCTCAGACTCCGTTGTGTTGAGCCCTGGGGAGAGCAGTGACGAGCCAGGAAGCATCCTGAGGTGGAAAGCCAGGACAGAAGGCTCAGAAAACAGCAGCCCACAAGGCATGGATGTCGTGTGATGGTGTCAGTCAGCTTTTGCTGGGTAATGCTGAACAACAAGCAACCAGCAACATGTAGTGGTTATAACAACACGGGTTTGTTATTGCTGATGGTACATGTTGCCCATGGTGGCTGCAGCCCTGCTCCACGTCCTCTTTATTCCAGGATCCAGGCTGAAGGATCAGCTAGGAAATTGCTTTTTTTAAAGCAGAGGGAAGGGGCCGGCTCTGTGGTGTAGTGGTTAAGTTTGTGCGCTCTGCTTCGGCGGCCTGGGGTTCGCTGGTGCAGATCATGGGTGCGGACCTATGCACTGCTCATCAAGCCATGCTGTGGTGGGGTCCCATATAGAAGAACCAGAAGGACTTACAACTAGGCTATACAACTACGTACTTGGGCTTTGGGAGGGAAAAAAAAGGAAAATTGGCAACAGATGTTAGCTCAGGGCCAGTCTTCCTCACCAAAAAAAAAAAAAAAAAAAAATTACTAAAGCAGAGGGAACAGTGATGGTAGAACCATGAAATGGCTCTAAAGCCTCTGCTCAGAGTGACATATATCACTGCTGTTCACACTTTATTGGTCAAAGCAAGTCATTTGACCAAGTTCATCATCACTGGGGTAGGGAGATATAATGCTCCCACAAGGAGGGGTGGTGACTATTTGGCTGGTACAGAGTAGATGCTTGAAAACTATTTGTTGAATGAATGTATAAATGAATTCTCTGATCCTGGAAGGATTTAAGCAAAGGATGGATGCCCACTTGTATTAGTTATCTGTTGCTGCGTAACAAATGAGTCACAAACTTAGTGGCTCAAAGCAACAATAAACATTTATCATCTCACGTAGTTTCTGTGGGTCAGAAATTCAGGGGTAGCTTAGCCACTCAGCTTTTGAGGTTTGTCATTACGTCGTAGCCAAGAGGTTGGCGAAGGCTGCAGGCACCTGTAGGTTTGACTGGGCTGGAGGCTCTGCTTTCAAGGCGGGTCAGTAACACGGAGGGTGAAGCGGGGCTGGCTGTTGGCAGGAGGCCTCAGTGCCTCACCATGTGGGCCTGTCCACAGGGCTGCTTGAGAGTTCTTACAACACGGCAGCCGGATTCCTACAGAGTGGGTGGTCCAAGAAAGGGTAAGGCAGAAGCCACAGTGTCTTTTATGGCCTAGACTCAGAAGACACACGTCATCGTTTCTACAATATCTGTTGGTTCCACAGGTCTTCCTATTCAACGTGGGAGGAAGTATGAACACCAGGAGGGAAATCATAAGGGCGTCTACCGTGGTTTGCCCCCTGGTCTCCAATAAGCCACGTTCTTTCACATGTGAGTATTCTTACCTTCTCCCAAGGTCTCCCCAAAATCTCATATTATAGCTCAAAGTCTAGAATCTCGTCATCTAAATCAGGTACAGATGGGGCTTCTGGGTAAATTTCCTCAAGTATTGCTCTTAGAGCACAGTTCCTCTTGATCTGAAGGCGTGTGAACTAAAGAGACAGTTATCTGTCCCCTCCCCCCACAGCATACAATGGTGTGAGAAGCATAAGATAACTATTACAGACACTCCAATTTGAAAAAGGAGGCACATAGGAGTCACTGGTCAATAGACATTCTGAAATCTATCAGAACTTCCAGTGTTGGGGGTTCCTTCATTAGGACATAAGGGCTGGAAATAGTTCTCCACAGCTCTTGGCTCTGCCCTAGGGGCTTTTGGTATTGGTTTCTGAGTCATCTTTCCTTTTCCATGAAAGGTAGCTTACGTTAGCAGATGATTGGTTTTCTCACCCTTCCTCCTGTAGAAGTTCGGAAGTCCGAAGACTTCCTTTCATTTTGTACGGTCTCTCTTTCAGTTCCAGCTGGCAGTGTTTCTGTCAATACAATTCTTCTAAAACTTTTTTGGATCTCCTATGAATCTTATTGGGGCATTTGCTCCATTAGACAAAGCTCTTTGAGACACATTCTTCTCTCCTCTGAGAGTCTGCTGAGGCCGCTGAAGGATAACACCTTTAAATTTTTTAGAAGCCTTATTATCTAAGTGAATGGTTCTCTGCAGCACCCTCTTACATTTTCTGAGGACTTAACAAATTTTACAGCCACACCGTCAACTTCATCTTCAGGTTGTATTTTCGTGATATTTCCCTGGATTTGATCTTTTCCCAGAAACTATATCTTAATTTTATCTTCTGCCATCTAGAGAAGCTGGGAATTTTCAAAACCAGAAAGTCCTCGTTCCTTTTGTTTAACAGTATTTCTTTTAGCTTATTTCTCTCTTATCTCATTTTACTAAAAGAGGCAAGAAGAAATGAGGCGGGATCTTCAATACTCTATTCGGAAATCTCCTTAGCTGGACCATCTGGCTCATTAGGTACATTTTCTCCTTTCCGCATTACCACAGGTGACAGCGCTGCTAAACTTTCTGACACTGCATACGAGAATCTTCTTTCCTCCAGTTTCCAATCACATTTTTCTCATTTTCCTTTAAGCCCTCACTGACAGCATCTTCCAAGCCCACGAGACTTCATCTAACAATTGAAGCTCCTGGCTAGACACCAGAATTGCGAGGGGCCAGGGTCTCCTTCGTGTCCCAATTTCCCCACCTTCCTTGAATAAGGAAGCCCACTTCCTACTCAGGGCATTTGGATTTGCTTTTCTCTCTGTCTACACTGCTCCTCTTCCAGATATCCTCAATGTACATTTCTCCAAATATACATTGCAAGAAGCTTGTTCTCTTGTTTAATTCAGATGGCCACTTAAACGTTACCCCATTAGAGAGGCTGTCTGTGACTACTCTAGCTAAAATAGCACCCCCATTCTCTATTTATATCCTTGCCCTGCTCCTTTTTTTTTCACGGCACTTTTCACCACCTGACATTATATTATACATCTATCTATTTATTTTCTGTCACCCCCATTAGAGCGCAAGCTCAAGTGGAGGGGACCTTGGCTGTTTTATTCACTGGTAAAACCCTAGTGCCTGGAACAGTGCCTGACATGTAGTAGGTGTCCAATAACTAGTTGTTGAATGAACGAATGAAGTGGCCTTTGCAGAGGCTCCTAGCATGTGGGTAGACAAGGGCCATCCTTGTATTCAGGAGGCATATCTCTTAAGGCCACTCTGAGGAGGAGGGTCATTAGAAATAACAGGCAACGTGGAGTCACAGCAGGTTCTGGAGCAGGGACGTGGATGGCAGGTGTCAGACTCAAAACAGGGCCTGCTCTGCAAAATCTGGCCTTTGTTTTCCCAGAAGAGGTGAAACCTTGAGTGGGTCAGAGGATCTGAGCCTTTTTCCTGAGGTGGGGGCAAAGGGGTATTTCCTTTTTCAAAACATCACATGGATGTCCATTTGGTCCTTGGCTCAGCCTAAACAAGGTTTGTACGTGCAAAGAGCTTCCTGAGCAGGGGTTGTTCGGAAGGTTAGAGAGAGCCTCCAAGCATCAGACTTCTTCAGTCCCCCGGGGGCTGGGGACGGAGGTTGGGGCCACAGAATACTGCAAAGACAGGCTTCTGTATGGAAAGATGGGAGAGGGAAATGGATGTGGCTGAAGTTTCAGAAGTGTATGTCAGGAGGGGTCAGTGGAGGGCTGAGGGCAGGGGCCTCAAAGCAGACAGCCCTGGTTAGAGACTAGACTCTGCAAAACGTGACCCAAGCTGACGAAAGGCTATTTATAGTTTTCATTATTTCACTCAATGTGAATATTCATACGCCTCGCTGTAGACATATTAATAAGTTTGATTACAGGGTCCTGCTTCAGACCCACTGGGGGTGTTACACAGCACACAGTGTACGCAGCACATTGCCTTTCCGAAATGTGAAGAAATCGGATTTCAGCAGCACATCTGGCCTCAGGGGGTTGGAGATCTGTGGATCTATAAAAACACCAACCTCCTAGGGTTGCTGTAGGAGCGCGTGAGAAAATAGGTATCAGGTGCCAAGTACAGATGCAGGGAAAGGCTGTGCAGGGAGAGGCCAGGCTGAGCGGTGACAGAAGGAAAAATGACATCAGCCTCAGGGAGAGTCTGGGAGAAGCGAGGAGTTAATTCTCAAAGAATGGATGTTCTCCTCTAGAAGCCAAAGGGAAAAGATCTGGCACGTTCTTGGAATTGCCAGTCTCTTCCTGTTTGCAGCTTTAAGCCATTCTTCCTAGATCTCTGGCCTTTTTGGGATTTTTAGGGTTGGGTGAGGCTGTATCTAGAAATCCAAGCACCGGGCTGGCTGGCATTGCCCTCTGAAAGGGAAGCTATACGCTTTCACTTCTTGCGGGTATGCACTTAGTAGTGGAATGGCTGGATTATATGTTTACTCTATGTTTAACCTTTTGAGGAGCTGCCACACGATTTCCTGAAGTAGCTGCATCAGTTTGCATTTCCACCAGTGGGGTACAATGGTTCCAGTTTCTCCACATCTTTGTCAACTCTTGTTATCGTCTTTTTGAAGACAGCCATCCTAGTGGGTGTGAAGTGGTAGCTCATGGTGATTTTATTAGTATTTCCCAGTGGCTAATGAGGTCGAGTATCTTTTCATATGTTTATTGGCCGTGTGCATATCTTCTTTGGAGAAATGTACGTTGAGACCCTTTGCTCACTTTTCAATTGGGTTACTTGTCTTTTTATTATTAAGTTGTAAGAGCTCTTTATATATTCCGGATATCAGCTCTGTATCAGATATGTGATCTGCAAACATCCTCTCCCATTATGTGGACTGTCTTTTTACTTGCTTGATGGTGTCCTTTGAAGCATAAAAGCTTTTTTCTTTTTTTGAGGAAGATTAGCCCTGAGCTAACATCTGCTGCCAATCCTCCTCTTTTTGCTGAGGAAGACTGGCCCTGAGCTAACATCCATGCCCATCTTCCTCTACTTTATATATGAGACACCTACCACAGCATGGCCTGACAAGTCATGCCATGTCCGTACCTGGGATCCGAACTGGCGAACCACGGGCCATGGAAGCTGAACGTGGGCACTTAACCACTGTGCCGCCAGGCCGGCCCCCATAAAAGCTTTTGATTTTGGTGATGTCTAATGTATTTTTTTCTCTTTTGATGCTTTACTTTTGTGTCATATCTAAGAAATCACTGCCTAATCCAAGGTGATGAAGATTTATGCTTGTTTTTTCTTCTAAAGGTTTAATAGTTTTAGCTCTTATGTTTAGGTCTTTGATCCGTTTTGAGTAAATCTTTGTGTATGGTGTAAGGTAGGGGTTCAACTGAACTTTTGCAAGTGGACATCCAGTTGTCCCAGCACCATTTGTTGAAAAGACTGTTTTTTCCCCATTGAATTGTATTGGCACCGTGGTTGAAAATCAGTTGACCATAAATGTGAGGATTTATTTCTGGACTCTCAGTTCTATGCCGTTACTCTGTGTGTCTGTCCTTATGTGAGTACCACACTGTCTTGATTACTGTTGCTTTGTAGTAAGTTTAGAAATTGGGAAGTGCTAGTCCTCCAACTTTTTCTTCTTTTTAAAGATTGTTTCAGATATTCCGGGTCCTTTGAGTTTCCATATGCGTTTTAGAATCAACTTATTGATTTTTGAAAATATACCAGCTGGGGTTTTGATAAAGATTGCATTGAATCTGAAGACCAATTTGGGGAGTATTGCCGTCTTAACAACATTCAGTCTTCCAACCCGTGAACAAGGATGTCTTTCCATTTATTTAGGTCTTCTTTAATTTCTTTCAACAATATTTTGTAGTTTTCAAAGCATAAGTTTTGTCCTTCCTTTGCTAAATTTATTACAAAGTGTTTTATTCTTTTTGATGCTATTGTAAATGGAATTGTGTTTTAAAATTCAGTTTTGGATGGTTTATTGCAAATGTATAGAAATACAGTTGACTTTTATAGATGATGATGTGTTCTTCAACCTTGGTAAACTTGTCTATTAGCTCTAATCGTTTTTATTAGTGGATTTCATAGGATTTTTTAATATACAAAATCATTTCATCCTCAAATAGAAATAGTTTTCTTTCTTTCTTTCCCATATAGATGCCTTTTATTTCATTTTCTTGCCTAATTGCCCTGGCCGGAACTCCCGTACACTGTTGAATAGAAGTGGAGAGAGCAGACATCCTTGTCCTGTCACTGGTCTTGGGGGAAAGCATCCAGTCTCTCACAATTAGTATGATGTTAGCCGTGGGATTATCATAGATACCCTTTGTTAGGCTAAGACAATCTGCTTTATTCCAAGTTTGTTGGGTGTTTTCATCATGAAGTCATGTTGAATTTTGTCAATGGCTTTTTCTTTGTCTATTTAGATGATCATGTGGCTTTTGTCCTTTATTCTACTCACAGGCTGTACTGAATTAATTGATTTTCAGATGTAAAAACC